TTAGCGTCGTAATTAGTTGCGACGCAAAATTAGCGTCGATTTAGCGTCGAAAGTTAATTAGCGTCGAGGGTTTAGCGTCGAAATCATTTTCGACGCTAAGAGCTTTTAGCGTCGAATTAGCGTCGAATTACGCTGACACTAAATGTCTGTTTTCTTGTAGTGTGATATTATATACTCACTCTATAATATGAAAAGAACATCACAAGGAGAAAACAGATCCACAAAAATGTTTCAGTTATGCTTTCTCTTGATGATACTTCTCTTCCCCTTACTCTACATAGCCTACAACATCGGATCTAAAACGCAGCGTTTGAACTTACCACCAGGTCCACTAGGTCTTCCTGTGGTTGGACATCTCCACCTCCTAAAACCACTCATCCATCGTTTCTTCCACTCCCTCGCCGAGCAATACGGTCCCATCATTACCCTCCGCTTCGGCTTCCGCAGAGTCGTTATCATATCATCTTACCCTCTAGTTAAGGAATGTTTCACTGGCCAAAACGACATCGCTTTGTCAAACCGGCCTACTTCTTTAACAAACAAGTACATTTCTTACAACAACACCACCATCGGAACCTCCTCTTACAATGAACATTGGAAAAACCTCCGGCGCATCAGCTCCGTCGAGATCCTCTCCCCACACCGCCTTCAGAGCTTCTACCATGTCCGTAGAGACGAGATCCATCGGGTGCTAACGAGACTTGCACGTGGCAACACCACCAATGGTGATAATAAACCCGATTCTTTCAAGGAGGTCGAACTCGAGCCACTCTTTGCGGATCTAACGCTCAATAACATGGTGAGGATGGTAACAGCCGTTAAATACCATTTACTTTATCCGTTAAGTTTCAAAACAGCATCGTTTTAAAATTAGAAAAAAAAAACTCAGAAGATCATTTTAATACCAAATTTTCCATTTTGAGTAAAAAAAATACCAACTTCTTAATAAGCCATAAAATACACAAACTTATGTTGACTAAATCTAATTAGGTATAAAATTAGTTAACTTAAGACCAGAGTCCAAGTCCGGAGAAATGAAGAGACGAGATCCTCAGAAACTTGATCGGCTTCACACTTAGAGCAGACATCGACATCAAGGCACCAAAAAGATTCGACCAATATTTCAAGAAAGAAGAAATAAAGAATGAGCACATGAAAGAAGACTCATCGTCAAAACTCCAGCTAAGTAACATCATCACTCCGTTGGGGGTCGTTAGTTTCCTTTTACTTTACCGCTAAGTACTCATGGGTCGTTAGACGTAATCCCGAGGTTTTGGCAACCTCAGACGGGCCTAATAGTTGAATTTTCTATTATTTTTCCAAAAAAGAGGAAAAGGATAGTAGTTGCTCAGGATATCACTCCTTTGCAGCTCGGTCCTAAGGAGTAGGTTGTCCTTCCAGGTCTCCGGATTTAGGTTACGGTTTCCAGGATCTCATGTTTTAACATGTCTCTGGACTCAGGCTATGGCCTTCAAGGATCTCGACGCTCCATGTCTCCAGACCTTGCTAAAATTGACTAATTTTATACCTAATTTGGTTAAGTCAATATAAGTTTGTGTATTTTATGGCTCATTAAAAAGTTGGTATTTTTTTTTGGCTCAAAATGGAAAATTTGGTATTAAAATGACCTTATGATA